CCCTACCTAAACAGACAAGCCCTAGATGTAATGTACACAACGTTATTCATTCCGCACATACAGTACTGTAGCACTGTCTGGGACACGGCAGGGAAGGGATACATTGAAAATTTGCAAAAGCTACAAAACAGGGTGGGTCGGGTGATTCTGGGCTGTGACAGGCGAACTTCTACCTCAACCCTTCTAAACACACTAAAATGGGCCCCAGTGGTTGAAATACATAAGAAAAGCAAAGCTACTCTCGTCTATAAAGCTATTAACGGTTTGACTCCTTCCTACATCACTGCAATGTTCACTCAATTATCACACGTGCATACTCACAACACTCGCCTCAGGGCGCAAGGAGGTCTTCAGTTGCCAATGTCTAAGTTAGAATACAGAAGACGTGCCTTTTCTTCGTCTGGGGCGGTATTGTGGAACACACTACCACATCACCTAAAAGCAGCCAGGACCCTAGCAGCCTTCAAGCAATCTTATGTACTGGGTAATCATTGATATGCAAATTCCAAGCCTGATTTTAATCTTGATTTCTTTTTGTCCTACCTTGGTTCTATGTTATATGATGGTCAGGCTTCACTTTTGTTTCACTTATTTTTGGTATTATGATTTCATGCGCAATGTATGCTACTTAAGTTACCTTGCTTTTGTATTATTTAGTAACTTTTGTAACTTTATAAGTTACTTTTGTTGATTATTTGTATTAGTTTGAGTTTGATGTTTTTGTTTGGGGTCTTCCCCAGGCCCAGGGCTCATTGAAAAGCGCCCCACGGGCGATATGTATCCCCCTGGTTAAATAAATAAAAACAAACAAACATGGACACCCGGGAGCACACTCTGGACATGACCACACAAAAAATTTTAAGATTCGTGCGACGATTTTTGGGCTTTCGTGGGCGTTCGCTAAAAAGAGAAACCCAATCCAAGTGCAGGATTCATTTTGTATCATGTGAACCAGTTTCATTTTCTTTCTTCATTACCAAAGTGAAGACGATTAAGCATAAGACCACACCCTAGGTCAACATTTTATGATCTATAAAGTTTGAAGCCCTTTCAGATATTGCTGGGAAGAAAGAATTTATGACTTGTTGAAGACAAAACAGATTTCTGCATTCCAGAAGCCCTTTACATTGGCACAGGTGTGTGAAGTACCTAACAGTGTTTAGTGTTGTCTGTAAGTACTGCAATAAGAATGTGGACAGGTATATTTTGTTTTTGCATTGTACAAAATATAATTAATGTGTTTTCTTCAGTGTATCGAAAACATGTCTGAAAAAACAATGCTTGGGTGTACCTGAATACTATACACTGTATAGTGCATATTGTCTGTAAATACAGCTGCAAATTGAATGATAGTGACATCATGTTTTTCTATACATTTAAACAAATGAAACATACCAAATATAATATAATATACCAACAGTTTGAAAATAAACAATGTCTGAAACAAGAAACGCTTACTATGGGTGTACCTGTTGAGAATATTGTCTGTGGATACAGCAAATTCAATATTAGTGACATCATGGTTTATTTTGTTGGATATAAGTTATTTGGCATATTGCATCTGTTTAAATGTATAGAAAAACATGTCTGAAACAAGAAATGCTTGGGTGTACCTGTTTAGTATATTGTCAGTGGATACAGCAATAAGAATTTATAATGGTGGTTTATTTTGTTTTTGCGTCAAAAATATGTACTTTGCTATAGAAAAATATCAAACCCATAATAATAATAGTTACATATCTCAAAAATATGCCTCCTTGCATATTTACTTAACAGCCGATTAGGACTTTTCAGATAAGATATGCCCGCTCTCCGGAAAGGTTGTTCAAGTTGACTGAGTGATAATGTGTACTGTGTTATTGCAAGCCGTTACTTTACTGTGAAAACACATTCAAGTGCATGTTGTAGTGACCCATTGAAAGAAATTCAGTTAGCTTCTTCAATGTCTCAACTTCTGCAATGCGTCTTTAGACTAATTTAAGTCAGTTTATGACATATACAGTTTCTTTCAACTTTTATATATCTTGAGATTTAGGGTTAAATTCCTTCAAATGTCTGGATGAATTACCTCAAAGTCTGTCCTATTGGACCAGTCCATATCAACTTTAGAACACCCCTGTGAGACCTGCAATGGTACGCCCCGACCCTAATGCTTTCCTTAGCCCATTGAAAGTTTCTTTCAATCTATACTTCTGATATCTTGAGATTTAGGGTTTCCTTCAAAACTTCTGAATGAATTACCTCAAAGTTTGTACTATTGGATCAGTCCATATCAACTTTAGAACACCCCTATGAAACCTGGAATGGTACGCCCCGACCCTAATGCTTTCCTTAGCCCATTGAAAGTGAGTCGAGGCGCGGGTTGAATAGGGCGGTGTCGGGTGTTGTCCCATGAATGTGCATACCTGTACAGCTATATTTGATTACCCTGTTTTGCTTTCAGCAGGAGACCAGGAGCAGAAGTAACAGTTACCGGGTTCTGAGTGGTTGGGGAGTGGTCGACGCTTCGCACTCAGAGGTGAGTCCTCATTTTCTTTATGCATGAACTTTTGCTGAAAAGTTTTAGGCTGCGTGTTGTGAATTCAACCACCTGTTAAGTATACCTTTGCACCATAGCCGTAATACTTGCTCTTTCTGCCAATGCTTCTGAAAACTTAAGTTTGTAACGGTTAGATGCATTCAGTGTATTAAGTTTCTCTCGTCGTTTGGCTGACTGAAAACCTAATCAGCTAACAGTTCTGCTCTTCTTATGCATTTTTTGTTTCAAATTGTTTGTTTCGCTTAACCGGTAAACTGCCTTCAGGCGTAACACACATGTATGTATTACTAAGTACAAGCTCCATAAGACCAAACTGTTAGGTTTGAACCAGTGACACACCGGGAAGGACCCCTACTCTGTTCAATAAGTGCGGTGGGTTCTTTTACATGTGTAGGGTGTGGCTCTCCCTGGGACCTCCATTTAATGTCCTATCCAAGGAACATCCCTAACCGAACCTAGGCACTCAATGTCTACCTGAGTGAAGTGAGGAAAGTCGTGTAAAGTGCCTTTCCCAAGGGCACAACATTTGTGACATGGTAGGACTCGAACCTGGGACCTGTTGGTACTGATCTGAACGTGCTAATCCGTTTACGCTTTACCATTACGATTTACACAGCTTTAGTTTTTGTTGTGCTGCACTTGCAAGTAGAGTACTGTGTGCTCAGCCGTGAACTGGCCATATCCAACCTTCTCAAGTACAGGACTTTGTCCTAAACTTTGCACAAGTTAAGTCTAGTATTCTCATGCTTTACAGAAAACTGCAGCTAAAGAATAGTACGCTGTGAGAGCAAGAAAACATTACTGTAAACTATGTGTGAGAATTTTCCCTACCGTACTGTGCAAGTAACTTTCCCCAATTCCTTGATCTAGCTGAGCTCCACTTGAGTTTCTAAGTGGCCTGTGAAGCAGTCTTTGATGTTGACTTGTGGCTGTTTGAAGTCTGTGCCGTGTGACACTGTAAAATCTTGAGTAAAGTCTGTGGTGGATTATTTAGGGCTTCCTGAGACCCTTTTACTTGTAGTCACCTGATATTGGACTGTAAACATTCTTGGCTCTATCCAAGTTAGGAAGTTGACTTCAATCTCTTACTTGAATTAGTTTAACTGTACAATAGTTTACTCTCTAAGTTGCTATCTTTTCAATATAATTATATAGTAAAAAAAGACTTTTCAAAATGAGTCTGTGTATATGAGAATACAGTCAGGTGAATCAGATAATTATTTTATCACTATTGGCAGAGAGCTTCTTACATTAAAAAGGAAGAAAAAAAAAAGAAATGCCTTAAAGGTATCTTTGATAATATTGCGCCCATAATTTTCTGTTTGCTCGTATAATGTCCAGTCAAATTTCCTAATTTGCTCCTAAGCCATGTTTTTACCAAAAGCTAACACGTATTTACCAAAACCAAACACTGAGTTTGCAGACGTTTTGCAAAATATAGCTCTGAGATAAGGCCCTTCCTTCCGACAAAAGGTTACTGCAGGTTAAGTAACTAGTCTGAAGTAGAGTACAGTGTGAACATGGCTGCAAATGGACTTGTTTATTTGGTTTCTTTGGTCCTTTTCTTCCAAGCTGTTATTTCACCTTACCTCCGAGTCAATAGCTTTTTCTCAACTCACTTTCCACTATTCATGATATACATGATCATGTACAAAAGTCATGTATATTCATTTAAAGTGAAAAAATGCAAAAGAAAAGCCTCAACAAAAACAGCACAAAGAATTAGGAAAAAAATAGGCCAAGTTGTCTAAGGATAAACAATCCATTAATCTTTGGATCTATAGTCACCTTAAGTTTATATACCTACATGTACCAAAGTTTGTCTGACTCAATAACTTTCTCTCATTGAAGACTGCTCCCATTTTAAATCATGAAATATCTGAAAATCTGATTTGAAATACAAGAAGAAAGAAGAAAAACAGCAAATTAGAAATCAGAAAAAAAGTAGGCCAAGTTGTCTCAGGTTAAACAATGGTCCATTAGTGTTTGGATCTGTAGTCAAATATTTCTTGCATAATGCTGACTTTTGTACACATTTTTTTACACTGTCATGGCATATTTGGGTTAAGTTTGTTCTTTAACCCTTGTACTGCTGACTTCTGGTGTAGTCAATGAAAGTGTTGCTTTGCAGGTGTGCTCTTGGTATTCAGATGGTTAAAAGTCACAAGATCAATGACCTTTATACATCATTTTTCCCAAACCTTCATTTCTTCCAAAGTCTTTAACAATCGATAATATGTATGTTACAAATTTGGTCACATAATAGGTGGACAAAGAATCAAGGAAGATACAATGTACTATACTTTAAGTTAAACTTAAAGTTTAAAGATCAATTTTATTGAATGCAAAATAGATTGATTGGGAATTACATGAATACATGTACATGTATATCAATTAATCCATACACTCATCCAGCATTCATAGGGGGCGAAATAGAGAACTGATTTTCACAAAATCTAGTCTCAGTATTGCAGTGAATATTTTGTTTATAGACCACTGGATACAACTGTTTGGTGTTATCAAGATGATTCTAACACCCCAATCAGTGTAAAATGAAACTTTTGAATAGGACGTGGTGTCATCGAAACCCTTTTGAAGATCCTACATTTGCAATTTAAAGTGTTTGTGGTGTCAGATTACTGTGCACTGGAGGGCTTCTAATAATAGCCAGAAGTGATCAAGCTTCACAGTCCTTTTGATTCAGATATTGGATGGTTAAACACTAAGCCTCCCTTGGTGAAGCTGCATATATTAAAGTGCAAATATTTTGAATGTCAATTTTAAAGCTATATGACTTAACAGTTGTTTTTACTGTGACTTCACTTATCATGATTATATATTTGATATTACATAATAAGTTAGCAGCACTAAGTCTTGAATTTCGAGAAAATTCTTGTGTCTTTATTGAAACAGCCTTTATAATAATACTAGTAACACAATGAAAAACAGAGCAAAATTTTCATAACGTAACTGTTTTCAGTGCGAAGGCTCTGTTACAATAGCAACTCTGAACTTAATTTAAAAACATGTTTCATGCTACCGTAATATTTACTCGGCTTTTTATCAAATATTTGCCAATTTGAAAATAAATTATTTGCTATAGGATGTTCATATAATAGGATACGTTGACAGCAATGTCCATTATAGTCCATTAAAATCTTACCTATCACCAGGCTCCTGTGTTGACAGCAGTATTACTTACTAAGGCCACACCAATTTAATTTCTTGGTTAACGGATTCGCCCGCTTCATTTTTTTTCTGATTTGCAAATAAAAATAAAAATCTAGAATCAACTGCAAAATGCTCATATTTTGCCCTGAACAGTTGAAAACAGTCCTTTTCTTCCTAGTTGTTACAGTTATTCCATCTTTCAATGCAATGGTATCATTATAAGTTCAAAATTCATTGTTTAACTTTAGAACCAGCCTGGTGTGTTGACTTCATGCCTCCTATCGTACCATTTTGGGCCATAATAGGATGCCTAGGCCTGTTTTTATTTTTTTATTTTTTCGCCCGCCCGCTCCATTATTTTTCTAGAAAAATCTGTTAACCAAGAAACTAAATTGGTGTGGCCTAAGTGCTTCCTTCCAAATTGGTCTGCAAACCCTGTTAACAGTCAACATGCTATAAAAGGGATTACTCAACAGTTAGTTTTACTCAAAGAACAACCTCCATGCAAGATTTACTGAGATTTAAGATAACCGTTAACTGTAAAGAGAAATGACAAAACGATTAACATCGTTGAAATACAGAACAACTATCAGCCCAGTACGTGTGTAATTTGTCAATTTGTTGACAATCTGTCCACAAAGTTCATTGGGTAGGTTGGCAGTTCAGGTTAAACATTAACCCGCCTTGAGTGTTATAGATGACATTTGCATTATGAGGGCTCCATAAGGAAGTAGCCTTTGAAAAAAACACCTTCAAGCTTAGCCGACACAGTTCTGCTTTTCTTTGCGTGTTGTTGGCTCCGTCATGGTTGAAGTTCTTTTCTAAATGAGTGTGAAAGTTCATGTTTTGACTCGCATGGACTTAAAGCATTTGGTTCCTCAGGGGAACAGAATGTTCAATTTGGATTTTCAACCTTAGTGGTAAGTTGAAGATTGATATTAATGTTAATAGTAATCTGCTATATAGAAAGCTGTCAAAGGTTTGGAGTAACAAACCACACATAGTTAGTTTTTTCTTAAATACATTGTACAGTGTAACACTAAGCATTGTTTTGATTTGTATGGACTAGAAGCTAGTTATTTGTTTAGGGGAACGGTATGTTCAACTTTAGTGGTGAGCTTAGTGTTATTCTGCTGAATAGGTGTTGTGCAAAAGGGTGTTAAAGTTTTGGAGTAACAAACTACTAGTTCTAGTTTTTTCTTTAATAACTGCAAGCATTGTACAGTTTTGATTCCTTTGAACATAATTAAGAAGTTGATTATTTAAGGGAATGGTATTGTTAGACTTTATTTTTAATCCTAGTGAGCTGAAAGTTCTGTTATCTAGAATATTATTGTGCAAAAATGTATCAAATTGTTGGAATATGAAACCACTGGAAGTAAAAGGATTGTTTCAGAATGCAGATTTGAGAAGTCAGCTGATGATTTGGATAATCAAATCTGTATGTTTTGAATTTCACTCAACAACCACACCCATAATTTCCTCTTCCTCACTTGTGTTTCTTGTAAACAATTACTGACAGGTTTTTTCCTCTTTCTTGCAGAAGTGGGCATAAAAACAGGTTTAGAAGGGGCTGGTGGTTCTCAAAGCTGGGACACATGAAGTGGTGGCAGGTTTAGGCAGTCAAGGTAAGACACACCTGAATTCATGTATTGTATCTGAATACAAAGGAGGTATAGAATAGTTGAGAAAGTGGTATTGTTTTTTCAAACTTTTTTCAATACTCAGACTCTCTTAAATTGTACAGTAACTCTTTTCCAGTAGACATAGTCAAAGTAATTTCAAGGTGAGATTGTGATGTGGTGCATTCTTTCTTGTTTCACTTGAATTCGCCATTCTAAATTTGTCCCCTTTGACTTTTATATGGTTGATTTCTTGTATGAGCTGCCTTTCATTGTCAAATGATCATGGTATTTGGTAACACCAAGCTCTTGTTGAATTTGATTAAAAACGTAAAAATGTGGTATTTGAAAACATGTTTTCAGCGTTGAATTAATCTAACTAAAGGGTAACCTGTGTCCCTATTGATTTGTTCAGGAATGTAATTATAAAGGACTTTGCTCACACGTACCTTGGATTAAACTGTAGAGTGACTAAGTCTTGTAGTAAACAGGTCTTTTGTCAAAAACAAGTCAAGTGTCTACATTTCTATATGAGGTGCAGGTAGTTTAGATTATGTGTGAGTCACATGATTGTTCCTTTAAATATTAAGTTATTGCATTGATTTTAGAGTTTAGCTTGAAAAATTAGTGCTTCCTTTATTTCCGTGCATAACACAAAGTATATTGTATCCAGAGCCATGATTCTTTATCAAAAACCATGCTCAGACATGGTTCTGAATAGTCCATGCGTATCCCTAACCGTTCCTGGGGAAATCTAGGGACTATCCAGAACCGTGCCTGAGCCTAACCCTAACCCATTCAGGTATAGAACTGGATGTAGATTTTTATAGGGCATGGTTCTCACACATACATACTCTCTCACTATGACTGTTCTAGATATGATACCCCCTTATAATGTGATTTTATATTGAATGTTTTGCAAAGCGCCACCTGTACAGTTTTTGTTTTGTTTTTGTAGATGAAGACTGGTTGGAGTCTTGCTGCCTGGCTGGCCTTGTTGTGCTGCCTTTCAATAGGAACAACAACAGCACAGGGTCAGTTATGTGTCATGTAATATATTGACTTATGATAGCCGCTAGTCCCACATTTGTAGGTAATACAGATTGCTATCAGTTGTAGAGGTCTGAGTTTTCAATGTGCTAATAACTGTTCAGGGTACATGATATATCTTTGCACCTGCTGAAAGGTTAACTGTAATTATTGATTTTTTTTTATTTGACAAGAAAATTACAAATCATTGATAGGAACAAAAGACTGTCATGCTGGTGTTCCACACAGATAATCATTGACCCATATATATATATATAATAGACAAATGATGGCAAGGATTATGAGCATGTCATGTACTATTAGTGCGCTTGGCAAATATTCTATCTGAATGTGATAATTTGTGAAACTCTATCTTTAAAGTACAATAATTCTAAGAAAACTTCTGAGTTTTGCATTTGAAAGAGTTCTGCATTTGGCTGACATATTTAGAATCATCATTTTTTTTGTTCGCAGATCCGTGTCGTCCTCCTACATCATTAGCAACCACTGATGGTGGAACAACACAAACAAGTCTTGAAGCAACATTCAGTCAAAACCCATGCGGCAATGTTGTTTTTAGAATACGTCTGAAACCACAGTTCTGCTTCAGTGGGCCAGCATTCTACTATGCTGTAGACTGTCAGCCACAGGGATCTTTCTATAGCTGTACATCAAATGGGACAAATGGCACTCCATTGGTGGAATGTGGCGGAATTGGTGCAGGAAGGCATGCATGTATTATCTCAGATCTTGAACCAGGACAGAACTACAGCATGAGTGTTTCCACTGTGAGTGCTGGCACAGATTCAGCTACAACCCATGCTATAACAAGTAAGTTTTCAGCATAAGCAACACAAGATTGATGTTTCTTTATAGTTTGAGTTCTTCTCTGCTTTAAGGTCTTCTAACTGTATCTTGCATGGAATCACATTGCAATGAATTAACTGGCCATGACCATTTATAACTCATCAAGACATATCTCAACAAGAATTGTCCTTGAAGAATACCCCTTAAGTCCATATAGATTGTATGATTTGCTTCTTTCCTTGTGAAAAAACTGACAGACAAAAGATTTAATAATATTGGTGTCCACACATTAACCAACTTAAGGTATAAACAATTGAATTACTGTAACATTATTTCTTTCCTGTTGGTCTTTCCGTGTCGAAGGTAAGCCATGAAATCATGGGACAGTACCATATCTTTTTCTGACTCACTTTGCTCTTTTCTTTTAAAGAACCAGCAGCGCCAGCTAACCTGACAGCAGTGTCCAGTCAGACCACTACAACCTCAGTAGACATCACCTGGGATGTGTCAGGTGTGGCAGAACAGTTCATCATTACAGCCACCTGTACTGACGTTAACTGTGTGGACAACATGGAGATGGAATCCTTTAATGACTGTCCTCAGAACCCAACTTACACCATAAGTGACCTCACACCTGGAGCAGTCTACAGTCTTACAGTGGCAGCACAGAGTGGGGGCAGGCCTAGTGCAGCCAGCACACCAGTTATGGAGCAAACAGGTACAATACTATTTATGTATACTACACTTTTTTAAATTAGATATCTATGATGTGGATAGTAGACTGAAACTGTGTATTAAAAGACCATGCTTGGCAGACTCAGTGAAATGAGCCAGACATTCGAATATTGCAATTTTAACGTCATATATTATGTTCAAATGGTATTTTAGCTGTACAAGTGTTATATTCCACTTGATAATAATAAATTTTAAAGTGGCATGGAAGCTGAAAGTATTTAAAGTGAAGGAAGTTGTCAGTGAGGGTTGTAAAAAAAAGATGGCTGGTGTGTTACACCGAAGGGCGGTTATGCCGGCTATACTGATACAGATAACTGAAAACTAATAAAATACGATTTTACAATTTCCAGAGCCTGTGCCCCCAACCAACGTGACCTTTGACCTTGTGAACGTGACCTCGCTGGTGGTGATGTGGGGGTCAGCAGCAGGGGTGCATGATGGGTATAACCTCACCTGTACATCATGTGAGGGAGTGCAGGCACGGCCCCTCTCCCTGTCCGACAATCATACCAGGTATAATGCTACTTGTTTTTTTTGTATACCTGGTATACCTATAACTGTATACTGTACTCCAGTTTACTGTTAGTAACAGTCTTTTACAAAATAGTATGCAACAAATTCTAACTTTCTACATTTTATAATTAAAAAAAATAGCTATCAGAATTACTTGAGAATAAGTCCAGGTATAAACTACTGTAACAGTACTGTTTCATCCTTGTCTTATAACGAATAGGACTTAGTTTACTCTAATTTGAGGAAACAGCCTTCAAGTTGACTGGAAAGGGTTTGAAAGTGTATCTGTCCTTGGTGCTGAATGCCATCCCATTACTGTTCCAGCCCTAGTCTTTTACCGAAGAGCTTTCAGTTTACTGTAATTTGACAGATTTGACTAATAGTACAATGTATGAAGAATAGTCTTCAATTCAAGTCTAGTGAAATGGTTTGAAGTTGCATCTGTCCTTGGTACTGAATACCATCCAATTAATGTTCTGGTCAAAGTCTTTTATTGAAGAGCACTCAGTTTACTGTAGTTTTACAGATTTGACCATATTATATAGTCTTATATTCAAATCTGACAAGTGAAATGTTTTGAAGTTGTATCTGTCCTTGGTGCTGATTGCCATCAAATAACCATGTATATCTGTGTTTGGTCTCCAAGATACTGTATTGTGCAAACAAAATTAGCCGTAATATTGTGTATAATTATTATAATAATGTTATGATTTAACCGTAAGAATGCTAAGGTAGTCAGTTGATACAAAATATACATTGTATATGGGTTAAGTAGCATGGAGATAGGTAAAGTAACAACTGGATGTAATTTTGGAAACGGTCAGTTTCAGGTACATTGTAGCATCCACTACCTTTCGTCAGTAACACTGGTGAACTCTCAAAAAAGAAAATAATCGGTTGATAATTCTTGATGAAGTGACCATCATTTTCTACAATTATTTATCTGACAGGCACCAGTATGATGGGCTGATAAGAGGAGAAATGTACAACTTCACTATCATCACTGTCAGTGGGCCCAAGTACAGTCAACCTACGGAGATCATCCAGTTTATAGGTAAGATAATGATTTATTTTGCTAACCATGTTGAACTAGGCATAATTTGGGAGGATTTTGGTTTCATTGTAATATGAAGTTAGGCCAGGTCATGGTTGCTAAACCAAATATCATTAAACACCAGTTATTTTTTTCAAACTTTACTAATAATAAAAATGTTCTACATTAAAAAAATATGTCAAATTTGCACATTGAGCTCCTTTTATAAGGTGATTGATGGATTATTTGATTGATTGATTGATTGACTGATTGATGTTTTTACAATGGTTGTACCTACTAGTTTTTTTAAGGTACCCAAGCTACCTTTTCAGTGTGAGTGGATCAAACTTTACAGTCTGGTCATCTGGAAAAGATTATAGGACCCTGTGATGTCATAAAAACATTTTTGGACATGAGTGGTGATTCAAACATCCTCGCCCCCTACAGACCCTGCCCCAGTGGAGACCATCACAGAACTGTCTGTGTACTCCAGGAATGTTAGCCTGGCATGGCAGCCACCTGAGGGCGTCTACTCACACTTCATTGTCAAAGTCACATCTGACAGGTAACATGATTGTACAGTTTTTGTTAGCAGATCTCTATCTAAGACTCATATTTTCTAGTTCTCTTGACTGTGTCGTAAAATATTGGTGTTGCTTCAAGCCATGACTTGTGCTCTTTCTTTTCCAACCTTTGCCATGAAATTAAGATCCCTACATTGTATAGAAGACTTAATAAATATTTAACTTTCTTAAGGCTAAAGCCTGAAGTCCCCCTTAAGTCTAAAATTTTCCCCATGTAGATCTTCTCAGTCACGAGCTTCAGATCACCATCCAAAATGACAGAAGCAACACAACAACTTGTTCAAGCTATCATACACAATACTTTAACACTTCCTCTAATGTCTCTACAGTGGAGAGAGCATGATGGTGAAATCCAACAGTCTGAATGTGACCCTGGTTGACCTGACTCCTGGCACCCTGTACAACTTTACTGTGTACACTGTGAGTGGGAACAAGGAGAGTGTGGGGACAGGGTATGGACCTGTCCCAACTCTGGAAGAACGTAAGTCAAATTGTTTTTATCATATCCTTTGTTTCAGTGCACTTTCTGAATCATATACTATTAAATAGATTAAAAGTAAAACCTGTACTTGTGACCACATTTTGCCAATGTAGCCACTGTTTTGGTGGCCCCTAAGATTAACACTGGTATGGCCAACTTTTCCTCTATAAGTGGCCACCTTTGCTCAGTAACTTGAGTGGCTGACATTACATCCGTTCATACTACAAACTTTAGTACAGTGCATGATATGATTATATATCTTGAATGTATTATCTTTACTGTATCTTAGCTCCTGGTCCAGTATCAAACCTCACTCTCGTTGCCACAAGCTCGACCACACTTCAGGTGTCCTGGCAACCCCCAGAAGAGCCCAACGGAGTCCTGACCAGCTACACCTTACGAGTGAGAAACAGTGCAGACATGGAGTGGAACAGTACAGTCACTCTGGTGCCAGCTGTTCCTGCTACTACTGTTTCATCCACTTTGCTGATGGCTGTGAGTGTCAAACTAACATGTTTACTTTCTCTGTTCTCTTTCTATAAAAGTTGTTATTGAAATTATTATAACAGTTCATTTGTATTGGTAAATAAAGACGTCATAAAGATCTTCATTATCAATAAGTTGGGAGAGTACACATGTATAAGACACTCAGATATATGGTTAGCAAAACAGTCGTATAGAAATGGTCTTTCTGGACAAGTTAGAATAGGCAAAACTTGAATTTGAGTCAAATATCAAACATACTACATGTGTGAACTAGCTAATACTTTATTTTGCTTTGAACTTATTGTTACTCCCGAATCTTTAAGTTTCATGATCGAATGTACAAACTATTCAGTGCTTTGAAACTACAGGACCCTTGCTCTGTGCATCTGTCCTTAGTGCTGAATCGCCTTCCGTTAATCCGAAATAGAAAGAAAGTGCTTGATAAGTAGAAATCAATGCCTATTAACTTACTTGTAATATTTCTTTCCCACAGACAACTGCTGGTCTACCTATGGACACCTCTACAGCACTACCGGATTCAACCAACCAAGCTACTGTCACAGTAACAGTCGCAAACACAGCTTCAGTCGCACCAGGCACAACAAATGGGATGACGCCAACAGACACTCCTACTACATCAGCCCTTCCAAGCACAATGGACGTAACAACTTCTACAAATGCCCCACAAGAGACAACTCCTGGACCTGCCAACATACCAAGTACCTCTCCCATGGGTACTAGCATGCCAGCAATGACTCCACAACTCACAACAGTCCCTAATACCTTCACAACTACACCAGGAGTCGTTCCAACCACCACAGCTACAGATATGCCAACCACCCCCTCCCCTACATCCACAGACACACAGTCATCCTGCTATGAGGAGGTTATAGTGGTTGTATGTGGGTATGGAACAGGAACATACCCCCCAGATGCGGCTATGCTACAGTGTGGTGTTTCAGGGCTTGTGCCACATAACAGCTATGTAGTGGAGGTGTTCGCAGCTACAGCACCTGGAGTTGGGGACAAAGAGAGCAGCACTGAGAGCACACTGCAAGACCGTGAGTACTTGTTTTGATTTTTTGTGACTTAAAAGTCATGCAAATTTAAGCCAAACTGTTTGATCATAGCTTACTACTGTAGGTAAGAGAGTGCATGTAATGTTCAACTTACATAATGTACAAACTGGGAATAGTTTACAATGATTTCATTTGATTGTGTGGTTCATATAGGGAATATACTGTGACATCAGTTTGAAAGACTTAGTACAGGTAAATAGAGACTTCAGCTATGCTTTGTATATAGAACTAATTAAACTACATGTAAGTGTATAAGTATCACTAATAATCTTACTAACGGCCAAACTTTACTGAGGAGAAAGATTAACAGCATATGACTTCATCTTTAAGTTTGTAAAACATTTAATGAAAGAGACTTAAGACACAAACAAATGACTTGTGGCAGCAATTTCAGCCTGTTTCTCCCTCCTATCCAGGACCTTGTGACGCTCCAACAGACCTTGTTGTCTCCAACACCTCCTCAACTTCACCTGACCCAAACACCAAGTCTGTCAACATAACCTGGACCCCCCCAACACAGCCCAACGGAGATGTCATGTACACAGTCTACATCACTGACTCCAACAACATCACTACAACCATCAATACAACTACAGCTACAGCGCATTATGTAGTGGATGACTTGGACAGTTTTAGCTCCTACACGGTCGCAGTTTCAGCCTACACAGTAGTCGGTTACGGACCAGAGTCAGAAGAAGTCATGTTTGTGACTGAGGAAGGAGGTAAGTTAGAGTGGTTTTGTCAGTATTTTTGTACACAGTAGGGTACAGCGATTTTAGCTTGAAAGTTAATCTGTGTTGGATATCTTTCTGAAGCAAGATTAAACTGTATCACTCTGCATCTGTATAGCCGGTATAACTGCCCTTCGGCATAACACACCAGGTAAAACAGTTACTGTAATTTTGAACACAGAAATTGGACTGAATCAAACGTTTGACTGTCTAACTCTTTCTAAGTCTTTGTCTATGTCTGATTGTATCCTTACTAGGTAACTTGAAAGTACTGTTTACTTCAAGTACATTCTTCTTCATCTAAAATGATACTATCCACTGGTACATTTTTTATTGATGTACCGTTTTTATCTACATCTTCTAGTGCCATCCACTAGCATCACAGGCCTACAAGCAAACCTGAGTGCTACTGCAGCAGTCCTGAAGTGGACACCCCCCTCAGATCCAAATGGAATCATCCAGGTGTATGAGGTTCACTACAATGACACAGTGGACGGCAACTATACCATTGTCAACACTACAGGTATGAAATATAACTTCATGATAACTTCATGATAACTTCCCTTTAACCTAAGTCTCCTGCCTTTAACCTAAGTTTCCTGCCTTTAACCTAAGTCTCCCTACTGCCTAAACCAGTTTTTTAACATATGCATATTTAGTACTAAGCAGCTACCTTATCTGGTTGAAGGTTAAAATAGCTACATTCTTTTTTCCTGGGTGTTAGAGCTGTTCCACTGTTGCATGTTTGCATTGGAAACTAAAGCTGTTATGCTTTTCAAAAAGGTTTCTTTCCATTTGCTTTATACATGAGATACCAAGTGCACACCACTGTCCTTGGTGCTGAATACCATTCACATCCTACTGTATGATTTTACTAAGAATTGCAGCAGTCTGCTATGCATGAAAATTTTTTTGGACACTTTTGTCAGATATTTAGTCACGACTATGTTATTCCCCAGGTCCTGAGCCGTCCATAGTTCTGGAGGGTCTGGAGGAGTATTGGGAGTACATGGTGTGGATATACACGTACACAAGGATGGGCAGAGGCAGCGTCTACAGTACCCCATACACCCTCCAGACAGAAGAAGCAGGTTAGTTCACTACCTTCCTAACGGTATTGTGTAACAATTCTGATGCACCTTGTGTTTAGAAATCCTTTACCTTTATGTATAGATGCAATTACATGTATTTGCAATTTGAAGATACTTTTATGCTACCAGAAAGGAGAAGAATGTTATGGAAAAATGACATGAAATGCCTCTAAACAAAAACCCTCAATCTTTAAACTATATTGTCAGCAATCTGATTGATAGATTATGTATAAATTAGTAAATTTGTGTCTTACAGGAACACTTAAAATGGCCCTCATGTTTTGTTAAAGAGCATTACATCGATAATATAAACAAAGCTACAGAACTGTCATGATGTTATTTTTACACTACAGATTGATTGTTATTTTGTTCTACCCCACAGTCCCAGGGCCACCTCCAATCTCAAGCACAATAGCAACCAGCAGAAGCATTGCTGTGCAGTGGGGACCTCCGTCCAAGTACCAACAAAATGGCATCCTCCAGGGCTACTATCTCTCCTACAACACGACAACATCTGGACCAAATATTCTATCATTCAGCAGGTACATTTTACTTTAGAGTGTCCTTTGTATGTTAGTGAAGGAAGCATTCTTTTTGAATATGCGTTAAGTAAATTTTCCCATTTTAAGTATTTGCATAGTTCAGAAAAATTTCTATTCCTTGCAACCTTCGATAAACCAACTCTAACTAACCACAAGTCAGCCACCTGCATTTTATACAATTACTAAGGCCACACCAATTTAATTTCTTGGTTAACGGATTTTTCTAGAAAAATAATGGAGCGGGCGGGCGAAAAAAAATAAAAAATAAAAACAGGCCTAGGCATCCTATTATGGCCCAAAATGGTACGATAGGAGCCATGAAGTCAACACACCTGGCTGGTTCAAAATTTAAACAATGAATTTTGAACATTTAATGATACTACTGCATTGAAAGATGGAATGACTGTAACAAGTAGTAAGAAAAGGACTGTTTTCAACTGTTCAGGGCAAAATATGAGCATTTTGCAGTTGATTCTGAATTTTTATTTTTATTTGCAAATCAGAAAAAAATGAAGCGGCGAATCCGTTAACCAAGAAATTAAATTGGTGTGGCCTAAGTGGTGAAAGGAAGTTGAAAGAGTATTTAATTTGTGTATACCAGATATTTATAGTGTATTTACATCTATATAGTTATACATGTAGTATATTGGATAAGACTGTTAACATATAAAATTATATGACCTGTGCTGGGCCCAGTGGGGCAAAAATTTACACGTCAAGAATTAAAGATCTTCATTCATTAATTCCACAGCTCAGTAGAATCCTACACCATCCCTGACCTGACGCCCTACATGAACTATACCCTGTGTCTGTGGGCCTGGAACAGTGCAGGCAATGGGAGCAGGAGCTGTGTGACAGACGAGACACAACAAGATGGTGAGTGGACTTGTGTTATGGTCATGTTTTATTTAAAATGATGTAGGCTGTTGGTCTAAAGCATTTTAAAGGAATATTGCAGCTGTAGGATATGAAGAATTTGAGGTGCTAACTTTTAACTTTTTTTGTTTTTTTTCACAAGAAAACAGTTAGTATCACTCATTCATTGACAAGCAGATGGATAGATTTTCTTTACCCACCTTGCTTTCAGTTTTCAAAATCTATCCAGTTCCTTGATTATCTTTCTTGTGTATCTCATTACCTGGATGTCTATATAAATCTGTTGTCATATGTAAATTTCTGTATCTCTGTTGTCTTAGTTCCCAGTGCTCCACAAAACCTGGCTATCAACGAGGTCCACCCCCGCAGTATCACCCTGAAATGGGACAGTCCAGCCGAGACCAATGGAATCATACTGGGCTATACCATTATGTACACCATGGAAGGGGCGTCAGACTCACAAGAAATCGAAACCACCGAAACAACAGGACAGATATCAGACCTGACAGCTCACACTGGATATAACATCCAGGTAGCAGCAAGGACTGTGATAGGACAAGGGGCCAAATCTGAGCCTCTGGAAGCTACAACATCAATTGCAAGTGAGTACCATAATCATGATAGCCTCTTTTGACTGTCGAAATCAAGATTTTTATGTCAAGAACTTTACCTATCCCATAGCTTGTCATATAGGCAAAGACACAACATTTCAAAGTTCTTGTAAACTTTAGGTGGTCCATGTTCAGTTTTGCTTGCAATAGTGCATTGTCTCTTGCTGTTTTTTGATACAGTGTATTTTGATTACAGCAGCTGTACAATTTTTATCCAGACAAAATACAAAGTTCTTAGAATATATTAAACTATCAGGTTGTACATTGGTTGTATGTCGGACATTAAAGCTTTGAAATGCTTTTTCTCTGTTAAAGGAACCAATGTTTTGATACTTCTGCTCTATACAGTACCCGGTAAACCACAAAATGTTAGAGGCACGGCTGTGAACCAGTCTGCTATATACGTGGAGTGGGAGGAACCCCAGCCTTATCCCGGGCCCACAACCTATGCAGTCCTGGTGTATGATGCTGTAGATGATACACAGCGTGGCACTTTTCAGGTGGGTGCAGTCGAAAATACCCAAGAAAACCACTCAGGGGCACTTCTGTAAGGGGCACTTTTTGTAATTATTTCTTACCTTTGCTGCTGATTGGCCATCAGCTATATGCTGCATAGCCTGTCCTTGGTACTGATTGGCCATCAATTAGGACAGTCTTGTTGCTGATTGGCCATTACCTACATGTATTGTGTTATTGGTGCTGATTGGCCATCAGCAACATCAATCTTGGTGCTGATTGGCCATTAGCTGCATGTTTTGTATCCTTGGTGCTGATTGGCCATCAGCAACATCAGTCTTGTTGCTGATTGGCTAATAGCTACGTGTATCATGTCCATGCTTCAATACTTCTGAATCAATATTTCCAGTCACCTCTTATGATAATAATATGCCTTTCAGCATATTCAAAAGGACAGTAGTACACTAGTTTTAAAATACTGTTATAAATGATAGGAAAGTTTGTGATAACATAGCAATTTTTAACTACTCTACAGGCTGGAGGTATGACATCTTTGACTGTCTTGGGGCTGAAGGCCTACAACAGCTACTACTTTGTGATTATGGCTATGACAGATGCAGGAAACACCAGTTCAGACCCGTCTGCACAGGTCACCACATACCCCGGAGGTAAGTCTTTTATTATGGCTACCTTCGCAGAAGGAAAACGTAAGGTTTTTGCTCTGTTTCTTATGTCAATGACTTGGACAAGATGGTAACTGGTGCTTTGTTTGTTTGTTTGTTTCGCATAACCGGTAAACCGCCTTCAGGCGTAACACACCAGTTTTGTACATGTGCGCACATGTACAAGCTGCGTAAGACCGGACTGTAAGTTTTGAACCACTCACACCGGGAAGATCCCCTACTCTTTTCGATAAGTGCGGTGGGTTCTTTAACGTGCGTGGGGTGTGGCTCTCCCAAACACGGGACCTCCATTTAACGTCCTATCCGAGGGACGTCCCTAACCGAAGCTAGGTACTCATTTTCACCTGAGTGAAGTGAGGAAAGTCGTGTAAAGTGCCTTTCCCAAGGGCACAAGATCGGTGACATGGGCAGGGTTCGAACCCACAACCTCTGGGGTGTGAGCCGAACGCGCTACCGACTGCGCCACACGACCCCCTATAGCTGCTGTAGCAGACACTCTGTAGTGTTGGGTTACATTATGTAGTAGGACAGAGCTAGAGGGGCTGGTCACCTTGTACTAAAATGTGTTTGAGTAAGAAGAAACAGAGCAGTTACTGTAGTTTTTAGGCTAGTTACAGGTAACCTTGTACTAAAATGATACATGTGTTTGAGTAAGAATAAACAGAGCAGTATTTTATAGACTACTTACAGAATACAGAATAGCTGAAGATATAGTTGACAGTTGAAAACTTGACCTTGAATAGTTGAATGTTGAATTTGTGTCTAAGCTATGGTCAGTCTAACTATGGTTCTATGACATTTTTCAGCGCCAGTTGTGGACCAAAATGTAAAACCACAGGATGGTTCAGACTCAACCACAACGACCTTGACTGTGACCTTCACCAGTTCCATGTTCTCAGAGGAAAATGGACCCGTGGCGACCTACACCGTCTTTGTGGCAGAGGACACAGGTACACACACAAATGTTCAATTATATGATACCCCAGGCCTATACTTCAACCCCAACCTTGGTGCTGAAGCACCTTTCCCAAGCATATACTATCATGTACAATCAATGACCATGGTGCTAAAGTACCTTCCCCCACCGTTTACTATCCTGTACCATCCCTGACCTTAGTAGAAAAGTACCTTCCCCCACCCTGTAATATCCTGTTCCATCCCCGGCCTTGGTGCTAAAGTACCTTCCCTACCCTGTACTATCTTGTACCGCCCCTATTATCTGCGAACGTGTGAATTCTCGTGCTTGGATAACTTAAAGATAATCTTGGTAACTTTTTTGATGATCATGTCAGCAGAACAATCTACATTTTGGGTTTTTCACGGTTTTTGTTGGATGTACAAAAAATGTATGGTCAACGTTGCATCAGAATTTTGCCTTCTGCAGTCATTCCCCCAATGCTCTGTTACTTTTCATATGTCAATATTCCAGTTGACTTTTTATAGTACAATGTTGAACTTTATAATTTATTCCAACACAACAAATACAAGGAGCTCAAATTTGAAACAACCACTGCTGCCTTCATCAAGATAATTAATGAACTTCCATATCTTTCATAATAAACAAACCAATCATTGAAATGATATGACATTGCAGCTGTGCATGAAATGATACAGGATGATACATTTCTTTGTGTTCTGTGCTATCTGTATTTCAGAAAACCTGATGGACAACCCGAGTTCTGGACATGAAAACGACACAGATGTCTTGACATGGTATGACGTACGAAACAGAGACCCTGTGCCACCCTACCAAGTCACGGAGAAGCAACAGTACCCATTCTCCCGCGGCTCTCGCTCCAAGCGTCAGGCCAGTCAATCACGGGAGTTCGTTATAGGGGAGGAAACGGACTGTGAGTTGAACAGAGAAGATTTTTGCAACGGACCACTGAAACCAGGCACAACTTACAGGTAGGTGTGAACAAATGCTCCGAGACTGTCACTTTTTGTATTTTGATCAAATGCTAAAGAAACAACAAAACAACAAAAGTACAGCAACTTTTTTTTTAAAGGTGTTCCACAACTTACCTGCAAACAAATATTAAGTGGATACAAAGGAATGTAGTTAAACTGTACATGTTTTGTCACAAAATATAAAGGAAAAACATTTCATTATTCTATGATGTTACCTGTCTTTGCAGAGCCAAACTGAGAGCATTTACAGAGAATGGCTGGTATGCTGATAGTTCCTACTCTGAACCACTGAAGACTACAGGTATGGGAGAATTTAATCACATTTCTGTGTGTTTGTAGAGCATAATTTCATCAGCAGCTGATTTGTTTTGATGTATGATAGAGATCATGTTTGTTATGTATCATATCTGACATAATTCATTGTTCCTGGGCAAGAACATCAGTGTAAGAAAAATATTATAATAATAATAATTATAAAGTAAATCAAGTTGTTATTAATAAATTTGAAATTGTCCTGCTAATGATCTGTTAGTATGTAGTAAACCATTTATGGTCACTGTTTATTTGCTAAATGTTCGCAATAGAAATTAAATTGGCATTTAAGTGTAACATTTTACTGGATACTGAATTATTCATCTTGCATGATGTACAGTGTGTTATTAGTAAAAACAACTCTCTCCAAGTCACTGTTTCTTGGCCTCAAATTATAGAAATTTTTGACATATCTGTTGCTGCAGCAATTCTTTTTGTATGTGATATTCATTTAATTTTGCCTGCATGATAGTAGTAAAACATCTCTTTTTATACAGGAGAAACGCAGCCCCCGAGGCCGATGGCCCTCGCCATTGGAGTGGGGACAGCAGGAGGTGTGGTCCTTCTGATCCTGATCATTCTAACAGCAGTAGTGTGGTACGTATAATAATAACAGTCACTGTAACTTACAGTATAATATACAGTTACATGTACTGTAACAGTTATAACATGTTAAACCTGCTCCCTACTAGTTAATTACCAAATTGAATGTCAAAGAACCTTATTCCACATGAAAGGCGTATTTTCTTGGATGGGTATGACATAAATGAGTTTAGAATACAACACGGTGTATTCCTCATCACCCTCAGTACCAGCCCTCCTGCGGATCGGATTTTCCTTTAGCCTTTGGACGATCCAAACCACAGTCGGGCTGGTACCTTGGTTGATGCGGGATACGTACCCTCAGGTGCAATCGATATTTACTGGTAAATGTCTGTCAGTTCCTGCAAAGAGATTTCTTGGGGTCGTGTGGCGTAGCGGCAGCGTGCTCGACCCGGAACCAAGAGGTTCCGGGGTCGAGTCCTGACATGTCACCGATCTTGTGCCCTTGGGAAAGGCACTTTACACGACTTTCCTCACTTAATTAATAAAATAATAACTCAAGTGAAAGTGAGTATTGTCTTGTCATGTATTCGTCCTCTTCGCTGGTGGTGGCATAAAATAAGTTGATATAACTTCTTGAGCGTGCTGTCACCATGTCTAGTCATGAAAAAAAAAAGATTCCTTGGTTTCTGATGAGTTTTCTGTCCTCCCCCAGCCTGAAACAGAGGAGGAACAGGCGACAGGAGATGGTGGTGGTCCCTCCGCAGGCACTCCTGGACATCCACCTTCCGGCCAGCGAACAGCAGATGGTGGAGACGTCTTCACGGTGTGTCCCTCAGTCTATACAGACAAGCACTACCACGCTTGTAGAGGCTTCGGCCCATGATCAGCCTGGCAATGATGAGGCCGTGATTGTTAAACTTTAATGATAATGAACTAAATTCTGTGTGTGTGCTACGCTTGTGTTGATGAAGTTTTGGAGTGTTACGTCAAGCTTTTATACTTACGGGCAACAGCTGCTATCAGCCATGATGCTTACACCAGCTTCAGCCGATGATTGACAGCCGTCAATGAGGCCATGATTGGTTGATGATAATCAACTAAATTCTTTGTGTGCTTAACACTTGTGTTGATGGAGTTTTGGAGTGTTACGTCAAGCTTTCACTTGTGAGCAACAGAATCTGATGCTATAAGCTACAACACTTATACAAGCTCCAGCCAATGATTGATTGATTGATTGCTTGATTGATGATCTAAAGCTATGCAGAACAAATCATAAATGATTGACAGCTACTATAATTTAAGGCTGATCATGATTGAGTTGCTTGCGTGTTTAACATCAATGCAGGAATCCAATGTTTCTGCTGGAATTATCCATAACCTCTTTGGGGTGTTGAACTTTGCAATTTTGGGATTAATGTTAACTTTTTTTCTAACAATTGAGATAATTTTGATGACAAGAGTTCATTCAATTTTAATGGCTGATAAGTGTGTTGTGATTTTGTTTTAATTCTTTTCATATGTTTTGTGTGTATATAAGATAAATCATACCACAGGTAATAATTCTAAATGTTGGCAATATTATTGGTGGCATTGTTCTTTGTTTCATGCGCAGATAGTTGAAAATTGTTGGTCTAAAGATTGTTGATGCAGAGAAGAAAAAACTTTTTAATTGACCTTTTGGTTTTAAAAAAATTATGAATTTATAAATTGATATCTGAATTGATCGATAAACTTGTAATATATTTTTTATTGTTAGGTTAGGCTAGTATCTATATTATACGGAATATACGGTGTTGTTTTTTATAATATATACACAAGAGCCACTATTCAGGGTGCCATACAGCATTTTAGCACAAGTGTGACCCAATGCATGCTGGGACATAGCTTTCACTATATGTACATTGAGGGGCAATATTAGTAGTTTACATGCCAGGTTTTGTTAGCCTGAGTGCCATCCGATTTGTAACAGGGCTCCCTTGCACTCTCTACCCTGAAAACAATCAAAGGAGCCCCTTTACAAATCGGATGGCACTCAGGCTAAGGCTTTGTTAGTTTTGAGAGCAATATTACGATAACCATGGAATTAAGAGGAGCTTTTGTAGTTTGTGACCCATTGCATGTTGGGGAATTCAGTAACGCACAATTTCACTCCTGAGGTTTTCTGGATAGTGATAGTTGGGGAGAACTATTTCAAAAAGCCTGCAGTGAGTGTTTCTTTCAGCCTAGCTCATAATGAGAGCATTTACAATCGAAAATTACTTTATTCTTACTTGTACAGCACTTGCACAGTCTCTCCTCATTTTATATGCACGAGAAGGTTTTCAAAACACATTTTCTCTAAATTATATGTTGTGCACATCCACATGTACATGATTCAGTACATAATGCATGGGCAAAGTGAAATAAAACACTGGAAAATACTATGGCTGTCTGTGCTTCCTTGTCAGGCTTAGAGTTGTAAATTTTTGTCTGCTTTCCATTTCTGTCACAATCATAAAATGTCCAAAAGATAATTGAAGAAGGTAAGTATGGAAAAACGCTGAATCTTCTGATGTCAGGACTATGAAGTTGTATGAAGTTCAGGGTCAAGTATATCCAGATCACCTTCGGGCACTAAGCTTTGGTCTTAACTTTGTTGTACTAGCCCCATGTTGTAGTGGCTACACATCTGGTGGCCCAAGGGATATAGAACAACGATGGGCACTGCCCTATACAGTTACACTCCTAGCTAGCCTTCAACCCCTTTAAATGTATTTTCTCAGACTGATAGATTGGACAACACTAACATAGGAACATAGGGGCATAAAAACATAGGGGTATCAGCTATCGATATAGGGGTGTCAGAATATAGGGTTTTCAAAACATCAGAACATAGGGGTGTAAGGACATACATTATGTAGGACTATCTGCCACCCTATACACTGAATAGTATTGTAAGGATCTAAACTTTACCTAACTTGACCTTGTCTGTTCCTCCCAGGCCGATCTACAAGACAGAGTTTGTGGAGCACATGGAGAAGATGTCAGAAGAGAACCAGTACTGGATGGAGGATGAGTACAGCGTATGCACTGTTTGTTATGTTTTGCATAAACTGTACTAGCACACTTCCGAAAATAGTTTCATCAGGTTGGTAAAACTTAAGAGATAGGGGAAGCTCTGAAGAAGGTGTCTGATAGACACCGAAACGTCAGCGAGGTGAGACTCTTTGGTTGTGTAAAAAGAATTCCCCTATCTCTTGTACTAGCACACAATTAACATCCGTGTCCATAATATCACCAGGGTCCATAATATCGCCACCTTGAGAAATAGTGTGCTTAAAGATATTTTTACTGCAACGTACCCTAGGTATGTACATTTGAGGTGTGCAGGAATGCATACCAAAAGCATGTTGCAGTAAAAATATCTTTAAGCACACTGTTTCCAAAGGTGGCGATATTATGGACCCTGGTGATATTATGGACACGGATGTTAAGGTGTAGCACACAATTTGTACAGTAAGACATTAGCTGCGTAAGATGGGACTGGAAGGTTTGATCCACTCACACTGGTACCCATACTCTCTTTCATATTAGTATTGTGGGAAGTCTTTAACATCATGATTGCTCGAGGTGTATCTCTCCTTGAACATGGGATCTCTGGCTTTACATCCTGTCTAATTGGAAAATATACAAGTCCTGGAAATATGTACATGTATGCTTCTTTTCAGAAAATGGTTTTACCAATTCATTGGTTGAATATCATACTAAATGCTGGTTAAAGTTTGAGAATGTGTTTTTAAGGAAAAGCTGAAAGGTCTAAGAGAAATATGAAGTAATAAATTATATAAAATGTCCTTGTATGCTTCCACAGAGCTTGAGGAATGTTGGGCGGGACCAGAGGATCACTGCTGCTCATCTGTCTGTTAACTCTTCCAAGAACAGATACACCAACATTCTGCCATGTAAGTACACCTAACTTTAACTGGGCAACTCACAGGAATTTGATGCTGGTGTCTGTGTGTGTGTGTTTGTGTGTATGCGCACACAAATGTATAATGTGTGTGTCTGTGTCTGTATTACATTGTATGACTTATGACAGTATCTGTGTTTGTGCATGTGTATGTGTGTGTGTGTGTGTGTGTGTGTGCATGCATGCATATATCACTCGTTTTCACTATCATACACTGTCATTCACTAAGTTAAAGCGGCTCAATTGTGAAACTACCTGTAAGTTATATAATATGTTTAGACCATTTTTCTACACATCCCTTCTTCCCCAGATGACCACTCCCGAGTGGAGCTCCATCCCTTAGAAGAGGATGAGAACAGTGACTACATCAATGCCAACTACATCCCTGTGAGTTCAACAATAACCTTCCCTTCAGGAATAGTTCAGCACTTAATAATAAATACCCCTTATCTCACTTCAGGAATATCAACAAATCAAAAGTGCATTTTAATATGATGACAGAATTTGCACCATTTTACCAAATCACCAATTATAGACGTATTATGATGATGGTAATATCACCATGATACAACCAGATTCAAAGATGTCTCCTACCATCATTGTTGTGTTTTCCTGCAGGGTTACAGGTATGAGCGGGAGTTTATTGCGACCCAGGGCCCTGTGCCGTTCACGGTGCCTGACTTCTGGAGGATGGTGTGGGAACAGAACAGCCGAGTCCTGGTCATGCTCACACAGTGCTGGGAGAGGGGAAAGGTCAGTAACTCAGGAATCAGCACCACAGACAGAGCCAATGTAGTTTGTAAATCAATATTGTAGGTCTTACTGCTCCTCCTCTGAGATTGAATCTAAAATGTGAGCTAACTTCAACATCTTAAACAAGTACTACAACAAAGATTTTATTTTTCTGATACTTAGAGACCAAGAATGTCCGGAATACTATCTTCTAATGTTAAAAATTCCTACAAAAATATTTGGGTGCACCAGTGCACCCACAGAAAAAAATTGGGTGCACAGGTCCAATTTTGGGTGCACTAAGGTGCACATGCATGTACCCAGTATTTTGAGCCCTGAAACATCATACTCCAATGTAGGCACTCAGCCCCATGGGCATGAACATACAAATAAAGATTCATTAACATTTACCATATTGTATATTGAACAATGATTGTTCCTCCTACTCCTCCATCAGCCCAAGTGTGAGCGTTACTGGCCGGAGGATGAGGAGCCTGTGTTCTACGGAGACATTGTCGTCAAGATGCTGTCTGAAAACACAGAGGACGACTGGACATGCAGGGAGTTCGAGCTGGCCAATGTAAGTACTGAACTTCAAGTCATCTATCTATTAAGGATTTGGCTTGCCTAACATTCTCACTGTTGCCTAAACCTGTAGCATTGATTTTCTTGTACGTGTTGTACATTATACATAACTACGGGTCACAACAAAGGAATAGTATACATGTACTTGCATATATACACATGATCAATTGAGAATCATTAGCCATACAGCTATACTTTAACTGTGCTAAATTTTAAGGGCTACTAACTAAATGTTTATCATGTGAAAGAGAAAGAAACACTGTGACATTGATGCTAATTATGATACATAGTTTACAAATCATTTTGTATATTGTAGTTATTTGTATACTGAGAGTTAATATAGGGAAGGTCTTATCCTATCCACATGGGGAGAATTTTGATAAAACAAAAAAAAAACAACAAGCAGGTCATGCTTTCCTGTTAATGAAGTGTGCATGAGAGTGCAGATAATTGTGGGCATTTGGATACATGCTTAAATGTGGTGAATTTTGATAAACAAACACTGTCAGATGCATGTTTTTCTTGTCTATGACCCACAGAACAGCCACAGTAGGTGTGTCCGTCAGTACCAGTTCACCAGCTGGCCTGACCACGGGGTTAAATGTGGTGATAAATAAACAAACAAGCAAACAAACAGATGCATGTTTTTCTTGTCTATGACCCACAGAACAGCCACAGTAGGTGTGTCCGTCAGTACCAGTTCACCAGCTGGCCTGACCATGGTGTTCCTGAGGACACCTCAGCCAGTCTGCAGTTTGTCAGGATGGTCAGGAGGAACATCGGAGAGAGCGCCGGGCCGACTGTGGTCCACTGCAGGTGAGTTAGGCAACTAGTGTATCAAGAACTGTAACAATCTAGTTCTATACCTGACTGGAATAGGCTTAGGATCAGGCGCAGTTCTGTATAGTCACTATTGTATCCAGGCTGTTCCTAATTCTAATTCTGCATGACTGGGTTAGGGTTATAGTCCACTATGGGTGAATTAGGCAACTGTCATATCCAGAACTGTGCCTGTCTATTTCATATAATGCCTGAATGATTCAGGTTTAGGTTCAGGCACAGTTTTGGATAGTCTCCTCATATCCAAGAAGTTAATTGTAGGTTTACCCCAGGCCTGTACCTAACCCTTAACCATTCAGGCATAGAATTTAGGATAGGCATAACTGGGCATGGTTCTGGATAAGGCATGGTTCTGGATAGAACGTAACTACATGTATGTTGTTTGATTGGTTAACCCTTTTTGATTGATCATTCGATTGATTGAAATCTCTGTGTGTTATCCTCCACAGTGCTGGTGTAGGCAGGACCGGTACCTTCATTGCGCTGGACCGGCTGCTGCAGCACATGGACGACCATGAGCAGGTGGACATCTTCGGCATTGTTCACCAAATGAGGATGTATCGAGTCTTCATGGTGCAGACACAGGTCAGAGAAACAAAAATATCCCATTTTTCTTACTCAACTGGTTATTCCATATCCATGTATTGGTTTGGATGTCCATACAACGAAGGCTGCCCAACTAGCATATGTATTATCAAGTCCTGACCTTGGGTTAAACATTATTAATACTGCCTCTACCAGATATCGGTACCCAAAATACCTGGGAGAAAGGTCTATATGGGTGTTCAAGCCCATGTGATAACTAAGCCTTATGTTATACCGGGGTCGCAATAACATTTGCTACAGGTGTTCTGGCCCGTCTGATAAATATTCCGCATCACCCTAGCTACCAGCCAAAACGTGAGTCGGATCGCCCGAAGGCCGGATATGGAGATCCAACTTGTGGGAGAGCTGGTGATGTGGAAAACACTGTGTTGTATTTTATTTTATGATGCCATACCTACCAAAGAAAATAGACTTTTTAATGCAAAATGTGCCAAAATTTGGTGTACCTTAACAAAAAATGTAACTTACAACATCAATTCCAATGTCCAAATCTGGTATAATTCTAGTTTTCGATAGCAGCACACCCGGGCACACATTCAATTTTTTCTATGGAACTTTGGAACTTTTGTCTCAAACTAAAAATGTCCGCATCCCATTTCAGGAGCAGTACATCTTCATCCACCAGTGCATCATGGACCTCCTGCAGGAGAGTACTCCCGTCAAGCGTCGCTCCACGATCAAGCGGGTCCAGTTTGCCGAGGCTGAGGATGAGGAGGTAGATCTGGACGACATCAACTTTGCCGAGTCAACGGAGTATCTGGTCGCTCCTGATGCCAACTCTGCTCTGTGATCTTCTGTATTTGTATAACCGTCCTTTGGTGTAACACTGTGCAGCTGGTGTGTTATGCTGGCTATATTGATACAGACACACCAGTTTCTGTGTCTGTATACTAGTAGCTGGTATAACTGCCCTTCAGCAGAGCCAAGCTTGGTGTAACACACCAGCGTCTGTAACTATAATATTATCTGACAGTGCATGGCCAGTATACATGTATCCGGTAAAACTGCCCTTTTGGCATCAAATTTGTATTGGTTTTGTAGAAAAGTAGCATTACCGGTAAGAAGGCACCTTACATTTCAAACTTGGTAAGGCAGTCTAGTATTCTGCCAATCTATCCAAGTGTCTTTGATTTAAAGAATAGACACAAGAAACTTGTATTCTTGTTGTTTATTTTTTCTGCCATGTGTATTGCTTCAATGAAATGTACGTTTTATCAATTTTGTAGTCTAGGATCTAAAGAGTGTGGCATTGGATGAAATGTAGAATTTTTATATTATTATTATTATTCACTGAAAAAACTCAGAAATAAGTATTTTTTCTACCTTACACTGGCTTTTTTCTACTAGGATTATAGATACCCTCTTTGTTTTAGCATTTTCTTGAAAATGTACATTTTCAATGTTTTATCTTGTACAAAAATTTAGTTTTAATTTGCCAAAATCAGAAATCTCCACTGAATGGCCACTGTGGATGGTCATCACACCTAAAATAAAGAAATAGAAAAAAAAAAGAAAATAAAGTTAACGTTTTTAAGATTTATATTACATGTATTTTGAACAATTTACGTCAGTCTTACTGTCATTTATGAAGTGTAAGAAATATATTGGGTAGCCTCTTTCAATTTTGGCAAAATAAAATTAATTGATGGTACAAAGATTTTTGTTAGACCGGCCTCCTTGTCACTTTCAAGATTGAAGTTTTTAAACTACGTGTACATATCAAAGATACTGTAGAATAAAACTTACATTCCAAACTTGGTGATCCTTGCATCTTTGTTGAGTCTTGAGATTGTTTCCATTTCTTCCGTGCTCAGCTCAAAATCAAAGATCTGTAAAACAGCAACAGATTTCTTACTTACTCTGGTGTATGTGGATTTTGTTTGCTGCATTGACTGTCACTATGCACCTAATAGTATGAAGTATAATCATTTATGGCAATGGTTTCTGAACAGTTCTTAGTACGATAATGCATATGTCCTTAATTCAGAGTGGTGCAGGTAAAACTTTTCTGATGCAGGTAACTTTGTTACTTGAACCAGTGCAGTTTTGCAGAAAAAGCACAAATTTCGAGCCCTGGACATTAACATTGATACCATTTTACAAAAAACACCACACACAAATGGAGTTCTGCTGATTATGATGTATAAGGCCACACCAATGTAATTTGTTGGTTCTTGGATTTTTGTCAGGAAAAATATGAACCGATGGAAAAACTGTAACAACTAGGAAGAAAAGGACTTTCCTCAATGGTTGGGGGCAAAATATAAGCATTTTTGAGCTGATTCAGAACCAGAATCTTTTTCTTTTTTTGCAAATCAGAAAAAAAGGTGAATCCGAGAACCAACAAATTAAATTGGTGTGGCCTAATATTGATAAATGAATGGTCTATTGGAAAATATAATCCTCCTGACTTTAGCGCTCCTTTATTATAATACGTTTTTACCTGTGAGTTCTCCAGGATTCGTGCAGGTGTGATGCTCCTTGGTACCACGACCACACCCCTCTGTACCTGCCACCTGAGACACACCTGTGGTAACACGTTTGGTTAGTCACATCATGCGACTATGATGCGAGACCAAATCATCAATACATGACCATATTGTAACTCACTTATTGTTATTGATAGTAGTTTGTAGCAATAATTGCATGAAATTTGAGTCAAATTTGACACCCGAACACACCAACCAACCATTGTCGAATGTACCGTTCACACTCGAATGCAACACTAAAAAAGGTCTTCATATATAGCAAGCAAGTTGGGTGAGCAACAACAGACAGGATTTGAACTAAAAAAAAATTATCTAGTTTCCTTTATAGAAAAAGGATTACAGAACACCAACACCAAGGACTCTTTATTCACAATATGCCCTATATCTACATGTAATGTGTTAAAGTCTAGTATATTTATAAGACCAACTGTTACACAATTTCATAACACCTTGTATATTTCTCAGTGTCTTACATTAGGTGAAAGAAAAATCTTCAGTTACCTGAGCTGGAGTTTTCTTGTGCTTTTCTGCGATTGAAATCACCTTTGGATCTTGCAACGGAGTGATACCATGTTTGTTTGCCTCCCTGAAAGAGAGTAAAAAAAAAACATGAAGCATTGCTGGAATCCCCCCATGCAGACCCTCAAAGATACCATGCAAAGTTATGAGAGTTATTCTCACATAACAAAAATCCTTGACAGTTACATAATTATACTTTTAGAGCTAGTTTTATTTCAAACAAAAACAGATTTCTAACTAAACGTACCCAGGCCGTCCAAGTGGGCAGAACGCAGTGATGACTACTTCGTTGTCTGCAGCACATTTAAGCAGCCTGCTACACACTAGGTAGGGATGGGACTCCACCTGCGCAAATACGTAGAAAGAAAAATTAATGAAGGAAAGGAAGAAAAAGTTAAACTTTAAGCTCACTGAGTGCTAACGTCCCACTGGTTGTAACAGAGAAGACAAACTCTATCTACAGTATTTTACAGGTTCACTGTACCGGAAAATTCCCCTAGCTCTTTTGCCGGTATAACCGCCCTTCAGTGTAACAACCAGCTTGGAACTCTATATCTGTATAGCCGGTATAACCGCCCTTCGGTGTAACACACCAGCTTCTGTATCTGTATAGCCGGTATAACCACCCTTCGGTGTAACACACCAGCTTCTGTATCTGTATAGCCGGTATAACCACCCTTCGGTGTAACACACCAGCTTCTGTATCTGTATAGCCGGTATAACCACCTTGATTTGAAAAAGGCTTTCGATACCGTAGACCACAGTATACTGTTGACAAAATTAAACTGGATTGGCCTACAGGGTACTGAATTGGATTGGTTTTCAAATTATCTCATGAATCGACAGCAGAGGGTTTCACTCAATGGTTGCACTTCTGACCCCTTACCTATTTCCATTGGGGTACCCCAAGGCTCAATCCTAGGGCCCCTATTGTTCAACTTATTTATTAATGATCTTCCTGAGGCCATCACCAACAGTAAAATAACTCTGTATGCTGACGATACAGCTATATTCTGTGCAAGCAATGATCCCAGATGCATAGAAAGTACACTAAAATTTTGGGAGCTCAAAACAGATATCATACTGGTTCAAATCAAATCGACTAACGCTCAATATTACAAAGACCAAATGGATGTTAATGGGATCCATTATGAAGATCAAATCTTCTCCCAATTTGATGATTAAGATTGATGACAATGCTTTAGAGAGGGTTACTTCCTATAAGTATCTGGGAGTCTTACTTGATGCGAGCCTATGCTATAGTAACCACTTGGATATGGTGTGTAGTAAGATGGCACAGCGCCTTGGTTTATTAAGGCGACTGCGGCCTTATCTCTGTACTAATGTTGCCAATATGTTGTATAAA